TTTTCTAATTAAAATTCAGTTAAAAAGTTTTGATTCTAATATTGAACTATTTTCACCTTCTCAATTCATATCCAATCTTTTAAAAATTGGATATCCGATCCGAATAAATTCTACATATAATTCAATTCAAATCAAATCAAATATTGATATTTCTCTATCAAATTCGATGGAATATGATTCGATTCGAGATAAAATCGGATTCTCTATGGTGCCTACTCTACACCACAAACCCATTCGGGCCACTTGGAGATATGGAGATAAATACTATAAATACCAAAGCCACAACCCCTCCAAGTGCATGTTCTCTAGTATCACATAACTCTTTAGATACCTTCAAGTGCCAAAATACTCTCTGTTCCATTCAAAGCCAGTGATGAGCATACGTTTACCCTCCATGATCATCAATGCCAAGCAAATTTACAAACTGCACTCTCTTCTTTTCAGAAATCAATTAGATGTTCCTAAAGGCCATTTTGCAGTATACGTAGGAGAGTTTGAGAAGAAGCGATTTATTGTTCCGATATCTTACCTGAACCATCCTTCGTTCCAAGACTTGTTGCGTCGGGCCGAGGAAGAATTTGGATATGATAATCCTACGGGTGGCCTCACAATTCCTTGCGAAGAAGACACCTTCCTCAATCTCACTTCTCGATTGCATATTTTATGAACAAAAGGGGAGGAAATAGCAATCCTCAACAGTTTTGGCAAGAGAATTTTTTTTTATCCTTTCTCTCTTTTTCTTGTGTTAGGCAAAGTTGTATTGAAAGGACATGAATAAACTTTTGTACCACAATATCATATACATATGACAACCTTGTTTCTTCAACTCATAATCAATCTAGTCCATCTTATCATTATTTAAACATTTTCGATAAATTGTTGAGCGTCTACTATACAATGATCAACACAAACAAATGAAATACTACAATTTGTATGCACAACGAATAACTGTATTTCTGTACTTTTTGATACAAAAACCCTCAATGATAGATTATGAAAAGTGATGACTAATGATAAAATGTTAAAGTGCTTAACGAAGAACAAATTTGGGTTATTTATAGATGCAAAGATGACTATTTGAAATAGCCACTACTGATCAGATGTAACCCAAAAGATATTTTAGATGCTCATTCACTAACTGATGCAAATTCAAATGATTAGAACTAGTGCGAATTTTAAATTCAAGTTAGAGGCGAAATTTAAATTCCAACGGACAAAAAAATTAAATTTGGGGTAAACAAATTTCACCCCCAAAAAAATAAGGTTGCATCAAACCCAAACTTGAGCCCGATTGGGCTGGTTCAATGTGCGTGTGACCGAACCTAAGCTTCCTCTCATCCATAAAAATGGGGTGACCCTTGAGGCCCAATTCTTATAGCAAATTTGGAGAATATATGCTCACTTAAGAATTCTTACTCAACCAATGTGAAATTAGTATTAAATCTCATACATCCCAACCTCTATTTTCATATTCCTACATCATTCAAAGTGAAAATCATACTTCTGTTTCTTGACATATTTGGTAACCTTTTACTTGCATAATCAAGAGCCGTTACAATCACATCTCTTTTGAACTCGTGACTACAATATAACTTTGTGATGATAATTTTTTTTTTTTTTTACATTATTCTTTTTATTTCATTTGGTAATACATGAGAAAGAAGTATGAAAGATCATTCGATAAACTCAGTCACTCACAGCTGCTCTTTTGAAAGAGTCATTACATGCAGAAATCTAGCTAAAAAGTGAACACTACAGCACATACAAGAGGGTGGTGGAACATGGCATACTGGCTTATATTTTACATATGACCTTAAAGTATGTCTTCCCATTTTGAAAACTCCTTTTGTTTCTACCTCTGACCACCATTTGATCCAAGCAAAGCCTTCAAAACATCAAAGAAATCATGCTTGTACCCATTGGCATGAAAATGCTGACGTGGTATGATCTTTGTGTACAGGTAGAATACCGCGCAAGCAATCGCAGGCCCAGCCCAAAAGACCCAATGCCCATTCCAGAGATGGCCACCCCTAACAATTGCAGGGCCCAAACACCTTGCCGGGTTCATCCCAGCACCAGCATAACCCTTTTTCGCTGTGACCGTCGTTGAGACAAACACAAGAAGGCCTAGCACAGTACCAACGATCGCAAAAACTTTAAACAGGCCCAGGGTCTTCGCTTGGCGATGATCATATGCCATCCAAATTGAAGCGAAAAGGAACACAAAGGAACAAATTATTTCAAGCCAAAGGGCCTGGCTAGTCTCGAGGCCTATTGTAACGGGCCCATTTGGGCCCGGAGCAATGACCGTGAGGGTACACCCTCCAAGTGAGAAGCTTTGTTCAATGGTGCTGCTTACCACAGCTTTGAGTGCTAATGCCCCTAGCACTGCACCAAGACATTGTGCCAGGATGTAGATGGTGGCGCGTGAAATGGAGATCAGCCCGACGAGGGCAGCAGAGAAGGAGATGAGGGGGCTGATGTGGCCACCGGAAACCGGAAAGACGGCGAGGAGTAAAATTGTGATTGTGATGGCAATGAGGACTGACATTATCAAGTTTGGCATTTTGGTTTCGGACTCGATGGTTGATATTACAATTGTGTCAATCATGAAGACCAGAACTGCTGAGCCAAGAAGTTCCCCAACTGATGCCCTCCAAACCTATTCATGAAAAATTGAATTGAATTATACCTGTCATGGTAATAAAAGAAATAGCAGAATCCCAATATAACTCAAGTAATACTACAAACGAATTGTAAATTTAAACGTTCTCAGTTCGAATTTTAACAATTATAATAAATTTATGTCTTATAAATACCTTAATTCAAACATGAATGACCTGCTTCTAATCAGATTGAGAAGGGGATTAGTGAATATGCATGACATGTAAGCAAAATTGCTTGTGAAATTAGGCTAGTTAATTTCACGACCCACAAACCCAATATAAAAATAATACAAAATTAGTGGGTTTGAGTTCAATTTTAAGAAATCGGAGTTATAAGTGAGTGAATCCATTTGAACCATCAAAATAAATAAATCGATATGAATTCGTACGTACGGCTTGTACATGTTACGAAGCAGTTAAATGATCATATAAAAGTTCACTATAAATTGAACAAATTTTAACATGACATGATTTTTAACATGATACAAATTCAAGAGGACAAAACTTATAGTTAGTTGTATGTAAAATTGTACCCACATTTAAGGAAAAGATCTCGTTAAAACCCAGTCTCTCAACCAATGAAGGGGGTGTTTGCCTCTCTCCTCCATCTACTCTCCAGTGCTCTGCCCTACAAAAACATGAAAAATTAAATTAGTTAGAGATTTGTTGGGGAATCATACTAAATCACACATCTTTTAAACTCGTGACTACAATGTAAGTCTCGAAAATGCATAACACCCACGAATTATGGACATTTGTTACACTTGATTTTTATGTAACTAGAGAACACAAAGCCAAGACATGCACAACCAAATTTAGTTTAAATTTGCTACCCTCTCTTGAAAGGGAGTGTGTGCATGCGTTGCTTATTTCAAAAATAGGCTAGATCGAACCAGCAGTACTTTTTTTAGAAAATAGATGTCATAGAATTTCTTGGAGAGAGAGAGAGAGTCAAAGTCAGGTACTTGCATTGGTGTAGAGGAGAGTGGTTGGATTTTAATTCCAACAGAAAGGCTTTCTTCATCCTTCACCAATTGCCCAGCATTGGCAGCCATGAGCGAAGACTAGCAGTTTCAGCTATGCTATGCTGTTCCTTGTGGAGGGTTGTGCTGTGTTGCCTCTCTTATTCAGCCTAAATATAAGACTGAAAAAGTATGCAATCAGTTACGTACTTATTGATTTCAGACACAGTGGCCTTGTCTATTTCTCCTCTCACTCCTCACCCACTACTCTTCAACTACTTTCATCAAAACTCATTTATTATTCTCATTTTTTCACTCACTTCTTCAATTTTAACTTAGTGATTTTTTTTTTTTTTAATTCAACAGTCTAGATGTGAGAATCAATTTACGCACACTTCGACTAATCTTCTCTTCTGTGTGTCTGGTTAAAGGGGTATCCGAAATTAATAATTTTCACTGCTGGGTAACAACAAGCGGGCTACATCTAACCGTATAACTTACAACTAATCTAATGACTATAATGAAGTAAGTTTTTGATTAAGTTCCCAAATTAAGTCACAAGCTCTTTACCATCTAATGTATCTCCAAACATTGCATCATTACAATTTTATTTGGTTCAAGCATGGACATAATTAGGGATAAAAATTTTGAACAATGTTTATTACACAATCATAATTCAATAAAACACAAACTCATGAAGGATGCAACTAACTAAAACGAATGATAAATGAACCAAATTAGTATCAAAATGAATAATCTAGTTGTGACAATGGCTAAATCTGATTAACTTGTACAATATAAAAATGCGGCTTATTATTTTTTATTTATTGACCAAGTATTTTATAAATTACCAAAAAAATTAAATGATTTGTTCACTTAATTTTACTAAAATTTAAATTTATGAGGACGAGGTTATACAAATATGATATGTATATAACACGAATTCAAAATAATACATTTTATACAAAATTTTAATCAATATTAATTAATTCTATTGTTAATATGCTTGAACCTTTGACTCATAAAAGCGTCAAAAAATGGTGAAAAAAATTAATAGAAAAAGATTATATATATTCTTTAAACTATATTATCTAAAATGTTGCAGTATCTTGAGGAAATAAAATATAAAATCACGTCACGATCATAATACCATTTTTTATTTAATCACATTAATTGCTCCAACTAAAAGCGAGGCTTCAATGATTTTCAGAGCTTTTGACCATCCCATGGTTTTTAATAAAAAAGTCTCAAATAAGGGTGGTTTCAAAATATTTTTCAAACCCAAGTTATTTTAAAAACGTCAATTGATCTGATATTTTTAAGCCAAAAGATTAACTTAAAAACGTCAGACTAACTGACGTTTTTAAGCTTATTGTGAGACCCAATATACTGTTTAAGCACGTTAGTTGGACTGACATCTTCAGAAAAAGCGTCAGTCCAAATGACGCGTTTATTTTAAAATCTAAATCTCTCAGACAAAGTCCACAAAGTTCATATAACTTAAAAAGACTGCTGCCTCCATGCCTAAATAAAAAAATTATATTAATATTTATCACAAATTTTATCATCACGTCAATGAATGTTACCTCCACATATGCCTATTTTATTAACTAAAAGGACATTAGTCGAAAATGCTTGGATAAAAAAATAAAAAAATCTTGAATAAAAATCTAATGCTCGAATAAAAAAATAAATTAGTCCAAAATGCTTGAATAAAAAAATTAAAAAATTTAATGCTTGAATAAAAAAAATAAATTAATATTTATTTGGGTAATTATCATAAGTGACTCCTATCATTTTCTCTTGGATTTTAATGTAGTCCGTAAAATTTTAATTTTTTTAATTTAATCCATCAATTATCAATTTTATTTCAATTAAATCATTGATAGTTGAGAGACTAAAAAAAGACAAGTGAAAGTTCATGGATTAACTTGGAATTAGAAATAAAATTCATGACTCACTATGAAATTTATCATAATTTTTTATAAAATTTTGCAAAAGCATCAAATAAATATAATTTTAATTAATTTCTAAAAATATTTTGCTCCTTCTCTTTTTGAGACGATGATTTTTTTAATATATTTAAAAATTTAATTACATTCAATAAATAAATTTTGATAATTTAAATATATTTATATTTTTTACCATATGAAACTTAAAAAATTGAAAACGTATACATATAATTAATTTTTTTTATTATATAACTATAAATGCATACATAAAATAAAAATAAATTTTTATTTGTAATGTTGATCATGTCGACATTAATGTTTATTAAGCTGTGAAAAAACATAAGTTATTCAGACCGTGTACATTTTAAAAAAGGATGTTAACAATGTGATTGGTATTCAAAACAATATAAAGGATTATCGAGTACACATAAATATGATGGGATAAAAGTGTCAGATGCATCATCGTCTCAATCAGAAAAATCAAAAAGTTCAGGATATATATACTACCACTGACATTAATCAGAAAGCTCATTCATGTTTCTCTGACTGGGATGATGATGCGTCTGACACTTTTATCCCATCATGTTTATGTGTACTCGATAATCCTTTATGTTGTTTTGAATACCAATCACATTGTTGACATTCTTTTTTAACATGTACACGGTCTGAATAACTTATGTTTTTTCATAGCTTAATAAACATTAATGTCAACATGATCAACATTACAAATAAAATTTTATTTTTATTTTATGTATGCATTTATAATTATATAATAAAAAAATTAATTATATGTATACGTTTTCAATTTTTTAAGTTTCATATGCTAAAAAATATAAGTATATTTAAATTATCAAAATTTATTTATTGAATGTAATTAAATTTTTAAATAAATAAAAAAAAAACCATCATTTCAAAAAGAGAGGGAGCAAAAAAATTTTAGAAATTAAAATTAATTAGAAATTGATTAAAAATTATATTTATTTGATGCTTTTGTAATATTTTATAAAAAAATATGGTAAATTTCATAGTTAGTCATGAATTTTATCTCCAATTTAAAGTTAATCCAAGAACTTTCACTTGTCTTATTTTAGTCTCTCAACTATCAATGATTTAATTGAAATAAAATTGATAATTGATAAATTAAATTAAAAAAATTAAAATTTTACGGACTACATTAAAATTCGAGAGAAAATAATAGGAGTCACTTATGATAATTTAAAATAGGCATTTGTGGAGGCATCATTCATTGACGTGATGACAATATTTGTGATAAATATTAATATAATTTTTCTATTTAGGCATGGAGGCAACCGTCCTTTTAAGTAATATGGACTTTGTGGGCTTAGTCAGAGGCAGTCAGATTTTAAAACAAATGCGTCATTTAGAATGACGCTTTTTCTAAAGACGTCAGTCCAATTGACGTGTTTAAGCAGTAAATTGGGCCCTATAATAAGCTTAAAAACGTCAATTAGTCTGACGTTTTTAATTTAATGACGTCAAATTAATTAACGTCTTTTGACTTAAAAATATCAAATCAATTGACGTTTTTAAAATGACTTAAATTTGAAAAATATTTTAAAACCCACCCTTATTTAAGACTTTTTTTTTAAAACAATCATGAGATGGGTCAAAAGCTCATGATTTTCACGTATTGCTTATTCTTTGTAAACATCAACGAGTACTTCTGAGGCATACCAAGTCTTATTAACACCATTCAAGTTCAAGGGATTCGAAAAAACGCATTCTCTTATTAAAATTTCACTTCACTGCATTATTTTAATTAATTAAAAAATATTTTATAAATAGATAATAAATTTTAAAATTTTGGAATACTCACGGATTCTAACTAATTTGTGATCGTATTAAATTCGTTGATATGTTCAGCAACAATAGTATTTTCAAACATCTTTAGGTTAAACAACTTTTTCATAAGACATACCTTATTCACCACTTAAGACTTTTCCTAAAAAAATTTTAGGGTTTTGAACAAATTTGATATAGTCTTTTCTTTGGCGATGTTCAACGCAACTGACGGCGTAAGGCACAGTAGCACAGTCCCTAGGGCTTTGCGATCCAGAACATCCAACTTTGTTTGCTCCATATCCACTGGCTTCGTGTTATCGATAGGTTGATACAGATCTTTCTAATATAAAATATCCTTCATCTACGTCTTTCAAAACGCGTAGTTCGTGCCACTAAATTTTTCGATCTTGACTTTATCTTCAACCATTTTGTAAACTCTTGTCCTCTTAACCCGGAGCTCTGATACCAATTATTAGGAAATTTGCATGAAATTCTCAAACCTGTAAGGAATAAAAATAGAGAAAACACACGCAAAAAAAAAAAAAACAATCACACACACAAAACAGTATTTATATGGTTCGACAATTTGTCTACGTCCACGAAACTGCATGGATTTCACTATTGAGAAGAAAGAATACAGATAACGAATGTACAATACCAATCTAACTCTAATCACTAAAATAACAGTTTTTATTTGTCCTGCGCACCGAGTTACATAACAAGCCCAAAAATTCTAAGTCTTTGTTCCATGGATTAAATCTCAGAAAATTCTTATTAAAAAACCACGCAACATGATTTCGGGTCGGGTCATCATCCGGATCAATACAAACTAGACTCTACAAAAAAATCCAACAAATTGTAATATAGAGACATGAAGTAACATGCTCCAAAATGAACGCTTAAGGGTGGTCTAGTTGTTAAGTCTATTTGATAATTCAGAGATTTCAGATTCTATTTTTTTCTACACCCCCTAAGGACTAATCACCTTGTCCTAAATCAGCTCAAGTTACGGTGGTCAACCACTGAATTTGAAAGAGTAATCGACACAAACCTAAACACTTTATAAAAAAAAAAAATACAATGTTTGCCTTAAAATGTATACCGTGTGTGTGTTTGCGTTTGTACTGGGGAGCATGTGAGATTCTAATAAAACTAAGGGATTTCAAGATTGCAATTTAATGCGGAGATATGAAGCAACGAAAAAAATAATTCATTGTGATTTATTTCGTGGGGCATTCTAGATCTTTTCCCATTGAAAACTTGGCACCCTGTTTTAGAAAGAGAGAGAGAAGTCGTTGGTTCCAACCACATTTTTCTACTCATTAATTTTCAGAAAAATACTTAAATACTCAAGTTAGACCAATGATAGAAGCAAATTTCAAAGATCTTTAAACGAGTTACGTCACATATTCTTTGTTCAACTCGATTACAAAATAATATTAGACAATGAGGCAAAATCAAATTGAATCCAAATTCAAAGAGGTTGAATGGTCAGAACTTGAAATATTTCTTACCAAGATTAAGATTTGCATATCAATGTTACATCATGCTCTTCTGGACTTGTATCTCAGAAAAGCTGGAGGCTCAAAAGTCATCTCTCCTCGTGCCTTTAATTGGCCTGATAAGTAGGAGAGTATAATAAATGATGCTGTAGTCAATCAATGTGTCCCTTGCTTCTCTTTTTGGTAATGTTATTATAAAGTTGTGGACAGCATCACCATATAGGATAAGGATAAGGATACAATATGAATATTGTATCAAAAATAATTTGAATTTTTAATTTTAATTTAGATGATTTGAGATTTAGTTCGGATTAAAACTTGGTTAAATTGAGTCGAGTTATGTTATGTACATATCACAAGTTTATTGGATAACTTTTTGATATCATAGTTGGTTCTCCGTGATATAAGTATAGGCTTCCCTTCCGGGTTGTTTATATCTAGTGTTGTACAATTGTTACAAAAAACTTGAGATATTGATAATCAAAATATTCATATAGTAAGTATTGCACTCGTACCGTTATGTTTCATTATAATTGGGTGACAATGTTTAGCATTATAGAATACTCTTTGTATGTGAGATAAGATTATGTATATATGAATTTCTTTATATTCTACGTTAATTAAAACCTTGTGCACCGAGTTATTCGTTTAAATATTCAACACAAATGATATATTTTCTTACTATTTATAACAAAAAGAAGAGTTATTTATGTCGCATAACAAGTGAAAGAAATAATTAATGGATATTTTTTTGCTCATTTTTTTTTTGAAGTGGAACTTTAATACCTATTAGAAAGACCAATTCCATGGTGCCTAAAAAAAAGTAAAAAGGAGTTGCGAGGATTTATGCTGAAAGAGAACAAATTCAAAGAAAATCATCGTTGTTTGTTTCTAAGAAGTAATAACTTAGTAGTGTGGCCAATCAAATGAACAGAGAATGAGAATTTGAAATCTAGAAAGACTGTGTTAAGAGAGGCCATAGCGGTTAGAGATAACCTGAGTCTCGCTTTCCCTAATACAAACTATCCCTCGCGGGAGTCATCTTTTCTAGAAATCGATTAAAAACAAGATGCCTTTCTTACCTTTGTCTGCAGCAGGCCGAAGGGAGACTGGACTGGGAAAGTTTAAGGGGGGTGTGGTCTGGTCCATTTTACGAATGTGATTTGGATGTTGTACGACTAATAACACATTGGGCCAGCTACTAGCACTCTGGCTTGTCGAACTGGGCTGAGCCTGGCCTTGAGTTTCGAACCATGTAATTGTCATTCTGCCGGAAAAAAAGCCGAAAAGTAGTTGAAAATTAGGCCCAATTAACTCGTCGATGGTGGGTCGTTTGGCATCAAAAATTTGTTCATCTCTTTTTATGAAAAAGCCCATCAAGAAACTTAGGCCCAAAAAAATATCTCGCTGATTGTGGGTCCCACCAACCCAACAAATCCGATTTGGGTAACAGTCCAAAGCCGAGGCGCATTTTTGTTTGGCCAATTTGACATGTGGCCCCCACAAACTCGTCTCCTTCTGACTTCTGAGATCTGTTTGTTTGTTTCTTCATACGCCAGGTCTCTCTCTCTCTCTCTCTCATATTTCAACGGCGATTTGGCCCTGAAGAGGAGCATCCTAGTCTCTGTGCTGCAAAACTGTGGCTATGGCTCCTCCTCCAAACGTCAAATCAGAAGAAATAGTTGAGGAGTCCATGGCTTACCAACTTGATAAGCGTCCCATCTCCACCATCGTCTTCATCATCGGTCTCTCTCTCTCTCTCTCTCTCTCTCTCTATATATATATATATATATATATCTGTGTGTGTGTTGTGTACTGTTACATTTTACTGCTCTTTTTTGTTGATATATTAATTGACCCTCTAGTATTAAATGAGCAGCAATGCAGACTGAAGCGTTTCCTCTAGTGAAAAAGTTCCAGCTTTCTCAAGACACCAATTCTGTGTCAGTTTTCTTCTTCTTCCTTTCCACTTCTCACTGTTTTCTAGTCTATTTCTGATCGGTTAATGAGGGTTTAAGAAAAGTTACTGTTAACTTTTACAAGTATTTTAACTGTTATAGCGGTGAATTGTGGATTATTAACTTAATGCAGTTCCGTAGCATTGCACTTCTCTGTAATCTGATGAAACTTGGTCCAAAAATCATATCTTTTGTTTCTTTTCAGTAGTATGTAGGGCTAATGTTATTCAGGACGACAGAGCTATGTGCTATTTTGTGTTTTTTTTTTCCTTTCTGTTTCGTTCAATGGGTGATAATGAATGCTATTGTCACGTGTTTCATGGAAAATTTGCTTTCTCTCTGCTCGGTGTCTAATTGATTGTACTTCCCAACTCTATACCGAAGAGAAGGGGGACTTTAGCAACTTTAAACCTGATATTATTTACGAAATTGAATCCTGATTAATAAGAGAGAACCCATTGCTTGGTGAAATGGAAAAACGAAGCAGCAACCACCTTGAAACCCGAATCACCTGATGTTATTTGTGCAAGTGAATTATGGTGAATGAGAGAGTTGCTTGGTGAAATGGAAAAATTTCTTTGGCTTGGCCTGATTCCGAAAATTAGTACATGCTTTGAGCTCGTAAAATAGAGATCCAGACATGGTTTATATCCTAGATATGGTACAATGCTAACTGTCAGAAGAAGTTATATATCTGGTCCATAGTATGTGGGAGAGAGTTCTTTATTGACTTGCCTTAATAGTGCTTCAAATGCAGCAAATATCAACGTTGTTTTCAACACCACTTATTTATTGAGTTGAGCTCTGAAAATAGGTTTAAAAACTTTGGATTGTTTCACGAGTAATGCTAAAATTAGACTCGATAATCTTAACCATTGAATAGGTAGTGGGTTTCAATAAATTGTGGGACCCACAGTAAAATTAATGGTTATAATTATCAAATATAGCTTTTAAGTTCATGTAACATTGCTCTTGTTTTATATAAAATTCTGCGTGTGATCTAATTATAGAACACATTCTTTTTTTCCTGGTGCCATAGCATCCTCAAAATTAAATTTTTCTGGCATATCAATAGCAACTTTTGAAGAGTTCTACATGCTGTGCTGTGGAGTGAATGGGCCTATTTTACTGAGAAGTGAAGGGGCTTATTTCATTCAATTCTACGTAACCTCTGTCTAGCAGCTTGTTTTGTTGTATATTAATGGGCTTATGTGTCATTAAGAAGTAAGTGAGGGAATTGTGAAAGTAATAGTCATTTTGGGAACTTGTTCAATTTGTGGTTTACTATAGTTAAGTCATATGATGTCTGAGTTTGAATACTCAATGCAAACTGTGCAGGTTTCCAGAAGGGGTCCCTTGGGTCCGATATCATGGTACTTACAAAGATCTGAATCTTAACATTATCTGGCCAGGAAAAGACAGAGCTTTCGGTAATTTTGGGCTTCCATTTCAATTTTCTATTTCTTGAATTTGATTGAGATCAGTGATTTTGTCATTTGATGAGTGGAATTGTTTGCCCCTATTAGCATTAAGGGCCTTTTTGAATTGCTGCTTTCACCTATTTGAGCAACTTGTTTCAAAGTTTCAAACTTCTTGCTGACATTCTCATTCATCTAATTGTCTTGATTTTGACGAAAAGCTCTATCTTGCACAAATGGATGGGGTGTGTGATGCAATTCATTCATGATGCGAAATCTACCAGAAAAAGGGCTCAAACACCTTGTCTCCCTCATTTTTACCTATTCATTTTTCCAAGTAGCCATTAAGAATTTCAGTTGATTTCAATCCTTCAATTTGCATTTCGTGTCATCATCTTGTCAAAGTTATCTTTTTGAGTAATCCATATGCAACTAAATGCTATATGCAGAAGAAGAGGTTATTTAACTATTCTAATGCCATTTCTCTACCTTCAGTCTTCTCCACATGCGTGTGTGTCCTTTGTGGTTTGTATCTCTCTTGTAGAATCTGCCTTCTTCTTGGGATTTTGTGGAAGATATCGCAGAACCAAAAATGTTTTGTGAACCTATCATCTAAAGTGATGGTGTATGAAAAATCCATTCGTGATGGAACATCAAAAAGTTTTAATTTAATAGATGAATTTAGAATGAAACTTAGTTTTTGAACCATTCATGGAGAAGTTGGAAAGGTTGATACATGAAACTGATGGACGAATCTTGAATTGATTTTCCTTTATTGGATGTTGGGGCTTTATGCACAGGAATCTTAAAAAACATGTCAAATAAAAATTTCAACTGTTGGACCATGTGGCTGTTGTGTCCTTGAATTCCATTTACTCATTCCTTGAGTCATTCCTTTTTTAGGGGTTGACAGTGTAGGCACAATTCCTGCATCTCTTGTGACGTATGCTTCTATTCAAGCATTAAAGCCGGATCTTATCATAAATGCTGGCACTGCAGGTGGTTTTAAGGTAGCTCTTGTGCCCATGATTGTTTTTACAATGTGTTGTTTTTCTTTTTGCGCTATGAAATTTTTTAAAGCGTTCATATTTTCCTAGCTAATCGTGGTTGCTATGCTATTATGTTCGACTACATGGCATAAGCTCTATGGAATTTATTTGACAGCGGGTAGTGCGTGCTCCCCTGTTATAACTGGAGTAAAGTTTCACTTTTTTAAGTTTTATGGATCCCTAATAATGCTGTACTCGTCTTTTCTTATTATTTCTGTCGGCTCTGTGGGCCACCATCTGGATTAGAAGGGCCACCAAACAGTTGAAAGATCTCTGAAAAATACACCGAATGGAAAGTCTTTACATGTATAGGATGTTCGGAGGCATGCTTCAATTATTGTTTTTAGCTGAATTCACAAGCACGTCTATATACACAGTAATGAATCAGTTTTTTGTTTTATAGTTTCAGATTGACTTCTAGATGTTTTCAGGCAAAAGGAGCTTGCATTGGTGATGTGTTTCTTGCATCAGATGTTGCTTTCCATGATAGAAGGAACCCTATCCCTGTAAGTCTGATTAGTTTTCTCAATGATTGTTGATGCCAACTTTTTATCGGCATTTTGCATTAAATCTTCACCTGCCTTCTTTTTGTCTTTTGATCTACAGGTTTTTGATCTGTATGGAGTTGGTTTGAGGCAGGCTTTCTCAACACCCAATCTTTCGAAGGAGCTTAACCTAAAGGTGATCAATCTTCTTTGATGTTTTGCTCTGTAATACCATTTCAATGCTTCGATAATATTGAGTAGTTGCCAAAGTTTTTTAATATCACGCGTTGTTCGACCAAACCTCATGTTCAATGGGTGGCCATTTTTTTTTTTAGTTCGTTAATGTGTGATCAAAGCTTAGTTGCAAGTAAACATTGGAGCTTTAGACCTCTCTTGTTAAACTGATCTACCGAGCAAATTGACAAATCTTAAGGTCTTACCCTTCAAAGTGCATAAGCTCTGGTGGTAATTGAGTTATGACATCATTGCAATGTTAGTCGTTGGTTCATAACTGTTTCATACCGAAAAGTAAGCTGAATCAAGATGCGACATTATTCCCAAGAAAGAAGAACATGCATCATCATTAGGTCATGATAGCAAAGAGTTATTGGATGGCTACTGCAGGCACTTCATGTGAAGTGCTACTGTTCTGTTTTCTGTTTTCCCGCTAGCAATACACATTTTCGTTGCTACTAGGTACGAGTTACTCGTATTTGTGAATGCTTACTATCTGTCGCTGAGTCGTGAATGAAGTATTTGCTGTGCGAAGACTATCACAACTTTCCAGGCAATCAATTTGGAGTCAGATTTGACACCCCTGGTGGTTTGGAATATAAGGACTTACCCAGAAAAAAAAAACATAATTACTGAAGTATATGTTGTGTTTTAAATAGACATATTGAGTAACTGATACCAGAATAGTGAACTACATGTCATATTCAGCTAATTTTTTTTGAAATACAGCTAGTCTCTCATTTGTGCTCTCTCTGTTGAACCATTTCTCATGACTTTGAATCGGGGTGCATAGTTCATGCAACAAAGTGTTAATGTAACCATTTTCCAGCAATCGTGACTCGTGAGGTTGTGCACAAATGTTGGAAATATTGTTCATTAGGGTGTCTATATTTGTCTTATGGGAGAGATGCTCATCGCAATATGACACTTTTTTGTCCATCATAACTCCAAAGATCTCTACCGTTCCAATCCATATTTGTTCCTGTTTCAGGTTGGCAAATTGTCTACTGGAGACTCTCTAGATATGTGTCCACAGGATAACGCATTGATCATTGCAAATGATGCAACAACTAAAGACATGGAGGTAAAATCTATGTTTTACCACCTCTTTTTCAGCAACTAAAAGTAAAATTTTGCAAGATAGGTCATTTCATCCAACCCTTTCCATGCAATGGATTTGCACTCTTTTCTCTACCTCAACTGGGCGAAATCTTAATTTGACAACTTGTTATCAACTAAAATTTTATTTTGTTTTTCTCCAACCTACAAAATTCATTTTTAGCCTTATTTTGCAAAGGAAGGAACAAGTGACATAATTGGAAATATCTCAACTTGTACAAGGATTTTTCAGCATATGGCTGGTCATATTGTTCATTTAGAATAAGTTGTGCATCTCAAATATGTTTACTAAATACTGTATATCAAATGAGGTGTCAAAATCTTATGCATTGAATGTTAGTGATAGTCAATGGACCCGACTAATCTAACCACCTATAGTAGTGTGGTATACAAAATTTGGTTAGTGTAGCATTGTTTGTTCAGTTATAATTGATGATGAAAAGCCATCAACTGCATTAATGGTAGGAAAACAAAGGACAGAGTGATAAGAATTGAATTATATTTCGTTATAGTAGGCGTAGACGTAGGGATTAGGAGTTATTTGTTATTTTACTTTTCAGGGATTTAATTATCATTATGACTATTTATTTCTTTTAGAGCTCTTTTAGGATTTGTGGTCTCCCTATATATATATAGGAGATATGTTATTTGTTTTGGTAGACTTTGATTATTGATTATTGATATTAAATTTTTTTTCCTAAAATTCTCTCTTTATTCTCATCCTCTTCTTCTTTTTTTCTCATCACTTTCGTTTTTCCTTCTCATCCCTAATTCTTCTCTAATACGATCTACATCAATTTGGTATCAGAGCCCAACTTCGATTCGTACAAGTCACAAAAAAAAAAAAAATTGTTCATCAGTACTGTTCATCGCGCATTGTTCACAGCTACTATTCATCGGTTGTCCAAGTAAAAAAAAAATCAAAGGTCTGTGTAAAAAAAAAAAAATTGTTCATCGGTACTCTTCACAGCTACTGTTCATCAGCCGTCTAGGTAAGTATAATAACTTCGTCAACAGGTCGATTGAGCAATCCCCTTTTGAAATTTTTATTGGTCATTCCCCTAGACAGCCCATTGATTTATTACCTTTACCTCTTGATTCCCGCCCCTCACACACAACCGAGCTTTTGCCCAATATATTCATGACTTACATGCCGACATAAGACAAAAAATTACATTAAGTAATGAGAATTATAAATTGGTTGCAGATATTCATCGTAGAAATAAGAATTTATTGTGGGAGACTATGTCATGGTTCGTGTGCGTCCTGAACGTTACCCTAAAAATTCTTTTAAAAAGTTACATGCTCGAACCATTGACCCTTTTCGTATTCTTCGTAAGCTTGGGTCTAATGCATATCACATTGACTTACCTTCGAATATGAGTATTAATCCTATTTTCAATGTGGAGAACTTGTTTCCTTATCATGGTACTTTTGAGCCTCCTATGTTGCCGGCAAGTGTTCCTACAGGTGGACTTGCTTTGTCATCAGCATCAACTACAGTTCCTATTCTTCCACCGTTTCCACCACAGCTGCATGACCAGATCGTAAATGTACTTGATGATCAGATTGTAGACTCCTCGGATGGAGGATATGGTCGTTATCTTATTCGGTGGAGAGATCGTCCAGAGACTGATGATTCATGGATTACTGAGGAGTTTCGTCGACTTGACCCTAATCTTCCAGAGCATTATCATGATCGTATCTCTCCGGAGGCGAGTTCTTTTCAGCTGGGGGGAAATGATAGGAAGCGTAGGCGTAGGGATTAGGAGTTATTTGTCATTTTATTTTTCAGGGGTTTAGTTGTCATTATGACCAGTGTTTTGAAAAGCTCGCCTAGGCGCTCGCCTAGGCGAGAAGCGAGGCGAGGCGAGCTTAGCTCGCCTGGAGGACCCCAGGCGAAGCGAACGTGAGCGAAGCGAGAAAAAAGCGAGAAAAAGCGAAAAAGCGAAGAAGCGAAAAAAGCGAAAAAGTGAACGCTTTATTATAAAAAGCGATTCTGCTTCACTTTTTTTTTTTTTTTTTTCTGATTACAGGTTAGTAGTCTCTTTTATTTTTTAATCACTAATGACTTTTTTTTAGACTATTGCTGGTCTATTTTTTTTTTTTTTCTAATAAACAATGTTTCGAACAAAACACATTCCTTTTTTTTCCTTGTGTTGCTGAATTCATTTAGAATATTTGTGGGATGTGGGAGTCAGGCGACTACACTGCATGACAATTATGATAAAAAAAAAAGCAGGAGTATCAGAAATGGGGGTAAATAATAAATTCTTCTACAAAGAAGTGTCTTTGATATGTCTTGGTTATACTTTTCTCTTTTCTTATATATATACAAATGGTACCAAAAAGTGGTCTATGCTTATACCATGTTTAATTATTTTAGTACATGTGAAATGTGCCTCTGTTCTGCTTTTTTTTATTCAGTATATAATTACATATGAAATTGTTTACAATTGATTCTGCTCCTGTCATGATCATTGTGCTTCTGTTTTTTTTTTAGCTCATTCTGCTTCTATTTTTTTTGTTGATTCTGTTGCTGCTTCGATTTTGCTGTCCTGTGTTGCTTTTGTTTTTTTTAATTGTCATTCTGCTTTTTTTTTTTTTTTGTTGCTAATTCTGCTGTTGTCCTGATTCTGCTTCTTTTGTTGTCCTACCCTGTCAATATGAAAATGTATACAATTGTTAGTATTTGTTTGAATTTAAATGTTTAAGTTATGACTATTATTAAGATTTGAGATATTATTAGTGTTTTTTTTAATTTAAATGTTTATGGTTTTACTTGCATTTAAATATTTAGTATATATAAAATTAGAACTTAGATTGTTTAGAAGTTAATAAACTAAAATATATATTTTTTTTAACTGTTCGCTTTGCTTCGGTAAAGCGTGTCGCTTCGCTTCTCGCTTCTCGCCTAGGCGTTAGGAGCCTTGGTCGCTTCGGTTCGCTTTACGTCTTAAATAACACTGATTATGACTATTTATTTCTTTTAGAACTCTTTTAGGATTTGTGGTCTCCCTATATATATATAGGAGATATGTTATTTGTTTTGGTAGACTTTGATTATTGATTATTGATATTGAATTTTCTTCCTAAAATTCTCTCTCTATTCTCATCCCCTTCTCTTTCTTTTCTAATCTCTTTCTTCTTCCCTTCTCATCCCTAATTCTTCCTTAATACAATCTACATCACAGAGAGATTCCACCAATCAACTAAATAGCTCTCTAGAAAGTCTGGGTCTTTGTCTCTTGAAACAATTCTTATTATAAGTAGGAATATACACAATCTATGCATCTAAATTCCTGCAACATTCAAATGGTAGAAATACTTGATGGAATCAACTACCTTGTGGCATTGCATAGGTAACTCCAGCAAAACAGAAACACATATGCTTTTACTATCTTGGATTTATTCTTTTCCAGCTTGGACTTCTCATCTATTTTTCTCCTATTCTAAACTGATTGGCATTGCCTTATTCCCATTTTTTTGTGGCCGAGAACATTACTTTTGAGCTGTGCCATTTGAAAAGGGCGGAGGAACCTTAAGAAATCAATCATTTGGTGTAGTTTGCTACTTGGCTATACTTATAATATTGAATGCTTTTGCCATCTAATGAAGAGGGCATTATAAGGAATGACTATTCTTAGTCCCTAAAACATCTAACCTTTGCTGGTGATTGTTGTCAAAACAGAGATGTGTGTATTCCTTCATTTGCCAATCCTAGTAGAAATATGGAAATAGTCGAATTACCTAGAACTACTTTCGAGACCTACGTTTATGCTCTGCCAAACACTTGAGAACATTTTTGCATTTTTGCATTTGTATGTTGCAGGACAACTTAAACTATTTTGCTATTGGGTTTCAGGGAGCAGCAGTTGCCTATGTGGCTGATCTTCTGAAAGTCCCTGCAATATTTATAAAAGCTGTGACTGATGTCGTGGACGGCGACAAGCCCACGGCGGATGAGTTTTTGCAAAATTTGGCAGCAGTGACTGCTGCACTGGCTGAAACAGTCCCCCAAGTAGTCGATTTTATCAATGGGAAGTGCCTATCCGAACTTTGATCCTTCGTATGCTGCTCTTCTTCATGTTTCAGCAGATAAATATGTGACCAGTGTGTCTTGAGGATTTCTACCAAAATGCTCTCCCCATTTTTGCCAGAAGCAGATCAATTTCTTCTTTCAGCGGAAATGTATTCTTGTGTTCTAAACAGCCATCTTCCACTGCTGCTGTTTTATGATTGTACGTCATATTTAAGAACCAAAGACTGATGAGTCTCCAAGGTAGGTGTCTCTATCAGTTCGATTTTGTGTAGTAATTCCTCGTTGCAAAAACTGGCAAATTGGTCAACATTCAATCACAGCATAGCAGCCCGCCCTCCCCCCTCTCTTTCCTTCCCACCTTCCAAGTTTACTCTTTCACAACGAAGGGTTCCTTATCTGTGATCATGCATTCCCTGGAGCGGAACATTAGTCTCACATTGCCTCAGTTGCTTACATGGAACCAGCAATTTTTTGCTCTGTTGAATGTCAATGTAGTAAACTGTAATTTGCAGGTGCATAACAATGTGCACACACACGCCCATGTATTAAGAGACCATTGGCGAAAGCTACTGTCGGTGGCTGAGTTTAAAGCACTATTGTGCATCCCAATTCATCATCCTGAACAACTTGGTCCATCACTTCTTCCATTACGAAACAAAAAGGGCTATCCTTCTATCATTGTCCTTTGACTGTGTTTTGGATGTATTGAGCTTCTCAGTGAGTGTTAATTCAGGAATGGAGAACCCCCAACACGCTTTTCGTGAATTTTTATCAATCTCGATCTCTTCTTGTATGTTGGTGGGTGATTAATTTACATATAATAGGTCCCGTTGGAATTCATGACGGTCCTCTACTATTGAGAACATGTTACCTGTGCAAATGGCCATCAATATTGATTATATTCACAACAGACCACACTCCAAATACCACCAAAGTAAACCCCCACCAAACCTCCACCAACACCTTCAAACAAAACTCATGAACAATTTGCTCTGCAACTAACCATTGGAACTCCAAAAAAAACTACACCACACTTCCTCCCTCTCTCCCTTATACAATGATAAAGACAAACTATGAGCTTATTCTATTGTGCCATAACTTTTGCAATAGAGCTATAAATACATACATAACCAGTCCTATGGCTGCCTCATTCGAAAGAAAACGAGTTTGTATTCATCGCTGTCTTCTGGCCAAAAGAGAGATATAGACATGGGAAGTGGAGAGATCATGCGAGGAGCAAAGAAGGCGAGCCATGGCAAAGCTACAATTCTGGCTCTTGGCAAGGCATTTCCTCACCAGCTTGTCATGCAAGATTTTCTAGTTGACGGGTATTTCAGAAACACCAACTGTGATGATCCAGACCTCAAGCAGAAGCTAACTCGACTCTGTAAGTTTACTCTTCAACTATCGTCCATTTTCCTGTTAATTATGGCCTTACTTCTTTTGATGAAGTTTTGATTATGATATTACAAAAGGATGAAAATATGCGAGCCATAAACACAGACACCTTGAATTCAAGTCACATTAACTGCATAAATCCAAGTTTAACCGAATCATTGCTTTGGTCCTGCCTGAAATCTATTTTGAAAAGCAGATGCAGTCAAGTGACATTAGAAACAGAGTTTCTTGGAAGTCTTGACCGAAATCTCTAATTTGATTATTTTGCATCACCTCACAGGCAAGACTACAACAGTCAAAACAAGGTATGTGGTCATGTCAGAAGAGATCCTAAAGAAGTACCCTGAGCTTGCTATTGAAGGCCACCCTACAGTAACACAACGTTTAGACATCTGCAACAAGGCTGTAACACAAATGGCAATTGAAGCTTCACAATCTTGCATCAAGCAGTGGGGAAGATCCACTTCAGACATAACCCACCTGGTCTATGTTTCCTCAAGCGAAGCTCGACTGCCCGGAGGCGATCTCTACCTAGCAAAAGGACTTGGACTAAGGCCAGAAACTCAGAGAGTCACCCTCTATTTCGCGGGCTGCTCGGGAGGCGTGGCTGGCCTTCGTGTTGCCAAGGACATTGCTGAGAACAATCCAGGGAGTAGAGTTTTGCTAGCTACTTCTGAAACTACCATTATTGGATTTAAACCACCAAGTGCAGATAGGCCATACGATTTAGTTGGAGTTGCACTCTTTGGCGATGGTGCCGGAGCCATGATCATTGGCTCGGATCCGGTTTCAGCCATTGAAAGGCCTCTCTTTGAGTTGCATACTGCTATCCAGCATTTCTTACCAGACACAGAGAAGATCATCGATGGTCGACTCACAGAAGAGGGGATAAGCTTCAAGCTAGCAAGGGAGCTTCCTCAGATAATTGAGGATCACATTGAGGAGTTCTGCAGTAAGTTAATGGAAATTGTTGGGTATTGTGAAGAGGACTACAACAAAATGTTTTGGGCAGTTCACCCCGGTGGACCAGCTATTTTGAACCGGCTGGAAAAGAAACTGGATTTGGTGCCGGAGAAACTTAGTGCTAGCCGACGAGCTCTGGCAGATTATGGAAATGCCAGCAGCAACACCATAGTGTATGTGTTGGAGTACATGCTGGAAGAGAAGAAGAAGATGAAAGAAGAAGGGAGAGAAGACTCTGAGTGGGGCTTGGTTTTGGCTTTTGGTCCTGGGGTCACATTTGAGGGTATTCTTGCCAGGAATCCAAGTGTCTGAGAAACTTGTTTCCTGTTTCAATTAGTAGGAACATACAGTTCAGTTTGGCTTGATCGTATATGATGTGATATGAACTGAAATTTCAATGGCAATGTTATGTTCAGTTTAACCTACAAAGGTGATTTCCTTGATCAATGCTATGGAGATGTACAGTCCTAGCATAGCACAATGTTTGAGGAGCGCTAGAGCCAACTCAGGTCATTGCATTTTTGTCAGCTAATTCCCATAAGTATCTAAATCAAAATGGTGTACTATTTCAACAAAATGCAGTCCATAAAATCTAGAATATGCCACCATGGTACACATTGTCTAAACGATCAGACATCTCAAAAAATTAGCAAATATAAAGTGGCATTGATCGTAACAATATTTTTTGTATGGCTCAAACTTTGCAGCCAGCTACATTTACTGCAACTAAAAAACTAGTGGGCATAAAAGTGCTAGGACCACCAAGGACATCGACTCACCCACCTTGACCCCTGCAAGTTGAGGTTAGCATCATTGACTCATTCATTTCCAGTTAAAAGCTCAAAAAATACACAATAAGTTGAACTCGATTAGTGGCGACACAATGAAGTTGATCTGATTTCTGGCAAAATCAAGTTTCAGGTTAGATCATCCAAGAAGCCTGCATTGCCAACTTAGCATACCATCCATTTAAATTCCATTCATGACTACAAGATCATGGGAAGAACCAACGACCAACATGGACTGTATGATGAGGGAAAAATAACAAAAAGAAGAGCAACTACCATATATAAGTTAAATTCAACCGCAGCATGTGCATACCATCCATCATCAGTTACACTACTCCAGAAGGAAGGCGTAACACAAGCTGTCCTCCGAAAACACTGCAAAACAGAAAGAACTAGTAATTTTTAAGAAATTAAATACAAAAAGAAAGAAAGACACAAATGTAACCATAGCACTGATAGATGATAAGATGTCATAAAAAGTTGCTTTAACCTTTTCACATAGTAGTAACAGAAGTCTGCTAATATAAAAGTTTGAACAATTTCTGAGATAAGAACCATAGAAGGCCACAATCCATAGCCCAAAGCTGTTAGCAGATGGCCACGGCTGTCCAAAACCTGTCAAATGCACAGAAAACAAATCTCAACATAAACCACAGCATACTCTCTCTTACTGAAGCAATTATACCATTTTCAGCCTCACTGTTTTGCAAACTGAACATATTTTCTCAACATAGTCATCAACCACCACCTCAGCTTTTTCAAACTCTGACCAGGTGACTCCTATGGACCATATGATGCCAAAAAACTATTCTAAAACTATAGGTAGAAGATCAAATAATTATTTACTGCCACATTTGATTGAACAGGATGCTGTTGGCCATACACACTCCAACAATTGATGAATGAAAATATGAATCAGATCTTGTTCTACACTTCAAACAATAAATATTCAAGTTTGCACATCTTACCTGGAGAACCCAATGAGCACAGCTCAAGAACCTTGCAACACCCAATGCGAACACATAATGAGCTGTGAATGGTTCAACAATCTGAGAGAAAAAACAAAAAAAAAAAAAAGCAAAGAAAAAAGAAGTCATAATATCATGCATTAACACTTCATCCAATTATTTTAATTAAAAGATAGGAAACTTGCTTCATATTGCTGTACCTTTGTGTTTTGCATCACTCGCAGTTGGGGTAGCACCGAAACAGCTTCCAGGTATACACAGAATGCCCATAAAATCCTGTTGATAATATGATGTGATGTGGATGGATGGATGAACAAAGCCAATAGAGCACAAGGTACCAACTGCAACAAAAGCAAAGGCCAACGTAAATTCCTCTTGCAATACGCACACACACACACAAATAATTAGAATGACAATGATACCCAAAAACAAATTTTTAAAAAGAAAATCAAATAAGAAATACTTTTGAAACCAAACTATTCATATAAAAGATAACATGATCTAATATATAATTAACCATGCTTAATAATACAGATCAGGGAATGAATGAACATAAAAAGCATTTTTGATATGTGTACACCTATGGCACTTAATCAACTCATTAGCTGTTAAAAGCATATTACTTAAAAATTGGGGCATATCATTCCGATGGAATAGTTGGATCACTATTCCATGGGTGGGAGTGCCAAGGAGTTGTTTTAATGTGTTAAATGTTAGCAGATGCCATCAATTGTACATGGCGGTTGTTGAGGTGTATAGTTACTGCAGTGACTGTCAAATCTTGAGGATATACCACTAAGGTTTATAGTGTGTTCGATTGCTTCCCTGTGGTATATTTTCAATTTTCAGTCAAATCTTCCTCCCTTAGCACCAAAATTCGAATAAGATAATTAACAAAAAACTTAGGCTAACAAGAAAACAACAAAGGAGCCATACCCCATTCAAGGTCAATGCATAAAGAAAAAAATTGCAGAAAGAAAATGGCACGGACACGATGGAAGACTCACCACATAATATATGGCAAAATTGTCTTTGTCCTCCATGTAACTTGACTTTAGTTTAAAACGAATCATATAAATAACCCACAGGGTGGTACCAAAAGTAGTTAAATCAAGGAAGGTGTGTATGTCATATTCCATGACAAAACTACAGTACAGTCTAACAGCCAGAAATATAGCTGTTAGTTCCTGGGATTTGAGTGACAGCCCTGCAATGGGAAAAAAACCATATATTAATCTGATCGGCATATAGTTAACCTCGAAATATGAATCAAAGATGGAAAAAAATACACAATCAATTACATAATGTTCGAAGAGGAAACCTTCTACCAAATCCAAAAAAAATTCTTTACATTATCCGAAGGCAGAAGAAAACTTGTCAAACTTTCAATAGCCAGAATCCTAGCTTGGTGCAAAGGCTACAACCCGCAAAGTAATGAGGACAAGAAAACAAAGATCAAAAACCTAATGAAACAGTGATGAAATTCTATCTGGTCACCAGTCCTCGAATACGTTTGTTCACTTAAAATTTCCGGGAATGTCATAAAGTATTATAATCAGCATGACAGGTAATTTTTTTTGGAAAATTATCATAAAAGTTCTCTAATTGTTCCCCAAGCAACTTACATTATATATTTAATGTGGTGCCCAACTTCACAGGAAGTACCATAGTATACTCCAACAACACAGAAAAATCCTTAAATAGGCTTCAATTGCCATGATTGATGGCATAGAGACATACACCAACAGTTCATCTCCAGAGTATGGCAAACAAACAAGGTAGTTGGATCAAGTATCTATAATATAAAACAGGCAGACTTCAACAAGCTCATCCGACGGTCTCAAATAGACTCATCCAACAGCCATCAACATTCCTCTCAAAACCATTCACATTGCATCATATCTTTAGCACGGGTTACCCCTAGTACACTATAATTTCAACACAAAATTAACACTTTAGTACAAAAGTGAACTATATTGTGAATTATATAGCCACTCAAACATACTCTTTTCCAACTAAAGCATCGAAAGGCATACAAATAGCAAAAAGATTGAGGGCCAAAACAAACTTGTTGGGAATCAATTGAAAAGAACAACATAAAACTTAGCACAAAATAGTAATTACCTACAATAGAGCTGAGAAATCCTTGTTTTCAGGCAAATGAGATACGTACAATATATAAATGCACACTCTAAAAAGAGAAAAATCCTGATTACTAAGCATGTCATTCGACTCTCAAAAGTACATCCTGTAAGGGCAGTCCACTGTAAGGCCCCTCAAAACTGATCAATAGAGTTCTTACGCATACTAAAAGACCTTCACAGATAAATTGGGTTCTTTTGGTCCATTCCCATTGTAACTACAGAAGCATGTGAAATAATTACCAACCTCAGTCTAAGAAAACCCTAACATTGAGCAAGATGTGGACTTAATGTAATCACAATCTAACAAATCTGAATATTGGAAAGACAATGAAAAATCGAATCTTTTCCAACAAAACAAAATCTAAAAAAGCCAATCGAAACAAATTGAACATCTAATCTATTGTAGCTTCGTTTGGTGCCTGAAAAATCATCTATTAAATCAAAACAAGATCTTTGAGAACCTCCCAAATAAAGTTTAAATCTTTTTATTTTCCAACGATTCACCAGCAACAAAACACACCGAAGTAAAGATAAGATCAACACAAATATCTGTATATATGACTGCAAATTGTGTGAGTAATTTACCAGCACAAGTTTTTTCCTTCATTAACTTATAGATAAGGACAGTGATTCCAATGGAGTGAACAGCTTCGGCGGCGACGAAGAGATTGTCGTGATCGTTCACGATGACTCGTAGCAACACCAGAGCTAACATACCTGCTACAACGGCCAAAAAAGCCTTCACCTTCGGCGGTTGTCGTCGCACCCATGTCGTCACGACGTGGATCGACCTTCTCGGTGGCCTCATCGTCTCTCTGTTCGATGTTTTTTCTACTTTTCTTTCTCTGATGTGTTCTCCAGAAAGTTACGGAAATGAAAGGAAAATTACGATCGATTTGTTATATTCTGTGTGCCTGGGAAAGATGAACGGATGGGTAGGAAGAATGGATTTATTTATTTATTTGAGTGTTTTTTTCACTTTATACCTCCATACTCATATTTGTATAAATAGGAAGATTAATTAGGAATTAAAAAAAAATTACCACCCCGTCTGGGTTAAGTTGATTTAAGGGGCTGAGGAGGCCGGTATCTTTCAAAAAAATTTAATAGGATAAAAATATAATTTTTAAAATAATTAACATAAAAGTATATATGCTAAAAAAAAGTCTTAAAAATCCTTTTACCTCTACCATAAATAGTGTATACTTAATTAAATGTGAAACTTTTAAAATTAGAACGTGTGACTTTCAAAATTCTTTTTGATATTTATGTATCATTTAAATTTTAAAATTTCATATATATATATATATATATATATATATATATATATATATATATATATATACACACACACATAAAACATTGACACGCTCAACAAAAAAATAGTAACATCAAACAGTAACACAAATATTTTTGTTGAGCGTGTCACTGTTTGATGTTACTCTTTTTTAGTTGAACGTGTCACTGTTTGATGTTACTATTTTTTTATTGAGTGTGTCATCGTTTGATGTCACTGTATTACGTGTGTGTGTGTGTGTATATGTGTGTGTGTATATATATATATATATGAAATTTCAAAATTCAAATGATACACAAATATAAAAAAGAATCTTGAAAATCTTACATTCTAATTTTGAAAGTTTCATATTCAAGTAGGTATGCACTATTTATGGTAGGGTAATTATGAAATATATTTTTAAAAAAATTTAAAAATATTTTAAAATGTGTACTTATTGACAAATATTTGATAAAAAATAGGACTTAAAGGAGAATAAGTTTGGAAGTGGTACTTAAAGTCAAATAAATTTTAGAAAATGTACTCACATCTCATTATCTCTTGATTTTTACTCTTCTCTCTTCCTATTGGGTTTGATGAAGCCCAGGTTTTAACTGAACTATTTATTATGGGCCACGATTTTAATTCCGAGGCTGAAAGTTGCATACAAAAATTACCAAATAGGTAAAAAAAATATAAACAGAAGTTAGACTCAATGAGCCGGATTGGCCTAGCCAACCCGTTGCTGGCCATTGCATGAAATTATCATTATTTTGAATCTAGATCATCTCTAATATATTTTAACTTCATTTTACTAAATGTTTGATAAGATAAAATTTGATCACCTACTCGTGTAGTTAGGGACCAGATATTACTCAAATTTACAATATTGTGATTTACTATTGAATGAAACTGAGTAAAAGTATATTATAGGAGATTTTAGTCCCGTTATTTTAATATTATGGAAAGAAACTCATGAAAGCTATTTTGGTATAATTGATATAAATCGGGGTCACTAAATGTGGATGCTCATTAGCATTTGATTATAGTCCAAAGAAACATTCAAAACAATATCCTAACCCAAGACACATTGGCCTTTGGGCCTAGGTGGTGATGGGTTGGGGTTATCGTACATCGGATAACTTTTGGGTGTGTGTGTGAGTTATATGGGCACTACGACACTTCTGCTTTTAAGTAGATGTGTTGTAGTTGTCCTCTAATCAAAACAAAGCTAATCCAAGAATGAAGTGAACAATGCTTTGCATTCAAGGTTTTCACAATAAGGCATGCTCACTTGAAACAATAAATAGATGCAAAGTCAAAAGACTCTACATATTACAATAACAATTTACACCCACTTTCTTGCTCATTTATTTTTCTAGCTTCAACACCCGATTGTTTTCCACACACTAAAATAAAAAACACCTCATTTCAATTTGAAAGATGAAATCCGTTTGTATATTCAATACCACAAGAAAGCATCTGTAAGTAGACTAAGGATGAATACAATTGTTTCCTAAGCATGAAAAGAATGGTGAGGGGAAGGAGGTTTGTGTCCAAACCTAGGTGGGTTGAAATACTTCCAAGGAACCCCAGAAATGGGAGGAAGTTGTGAGGATATGCTCTTCTATTAATTGGAGGAGCATTTGGGGCTAGAGCTAGAGGTTTGCAACCTTCTTTGAGGTCATAGAATTAATAATGGTTGCAAACATCAGCGCCTTCTGCTTGCGGCCATCTTAGGATAGTGACAATGGTTGACCACTTATCTTGTGTTATTTGGGGATTCACTTATAAAGGGTATGCCTTTCTTGAATTTATAATACGCAGTCCTTCTATCATTGAAAGAAATTGAACACAAATCCTATTGTTCGTGGTGTGCCAAATATTATAAAGTCATTTATTAAAATTTTTTATTTGAAACTTGTAATGTATAACAAAATAGTTACAGTAAAGAGTTACAGCAAGGTAACGAAACAATAATAGTAAACTGATACACTTAACTGTTTGTTTAAACAATTAAAATAATAACCCGGTTGTAGAACATGAACTATTATTAAACTTTATGTAGATCAAGGCTAGTGTTTAATACTATGTCCTTAAGACAGATTTCACCCCCATACACGGTGCTTATGGAATACCGAGCGTCTGCCTCCTAGGATACAATGATCTTTACACAAACAGAAGTAGCACTCTAATCTGCTCATCCAGCGAACCAAAGTCGTGTTGTGTACTCTCTAAATGTACTGTTTTAATGCCAAAAATGATATGTTCTAATGTCTGTCTTATTGTTGAAAACGGACTGAATGAATGTATTAAATTAATAAAAATGAGTCTAGGTATTTACAGACACATTGGTGACTTTTCGGACAGTCACGTTACTAAATGACACAATCTAGAATGACAAGGCACAACGGCCAGCAGACACTTTGAGTAATTGTTCTTCATGAACAGTCACAACTCAAAATTTCGGACTGGTGGGAAGCAAAAATTTGAACCAGTGCGATCCAACGGGTACCGAAAATTTATTTCGGGTTAAGAAATTCTCGCCCAATTAATTAAATAAATTTTCTCCAAAAAGATAGGGGTAGGTTTAAACCACACCCGTACCTGAGCCCGCCCCGTCATGGCAAGGTGGGTGGTGCGTGCGCGTGTGGTTGAACCGAAGGGATGTAGGTGCTTGCTCTACTCATAAAACTATGGTATCCTTTGGGGCTCAATCTCATAGAACAAACTTGGCCTATATATACTCATATTGAATTTCTTCATTAACCAATGTGGGATTGGTGTCACATCACACATTGCACTTCGGACAGTCACGTTACTAAATGACACAATCTAGAATGACAAGGCACAACGGCCAGCAGACACTTTGAGTAATTGTTCTTCATGAACAGTCACAACTCAAAATTTCGGACTGGTGGGATGCAAAAATTTGAACCAGTGCGATCCAACGGGTACCGAAAATTTATTTCGGGTTTAGAAATTCTCGCCCAATTAATTAAATAAATTTTCTCCAAAAAGATATGGGTAGGTCCAAACCACACCCGTACCCGAGCCCGCCCCGTCATGGCGAGGTGGGTGGTGCGCACGCGTGTGGTTGAACCGAAGGGATGTAGGTGCTCGCTCTGCTCATAAAACTATGGTATCCTTTGGGGCTCAATCTCATAGAACAAACTTGGCCTATATATGCCCATATTGAATTTCTTCATTAACCAATGTGGGATTGGTGTCACATCACACATTGCACTTCCTTTATTATCACATTTCAAGAGGGTCACTTTGAAGCCTATTTTCTCATTCATTTCTTACTCGATTTGAGCAAATGAATATACTACATTATTCTTCTCACGAAGTAGAATATGAACCCACAAAATTTTATTCAAAATAACAATCGGGTTCCACTTTAATTTAGACTCAAAGTCGACCAAAATTCAGTTTTTATACTTAGAAAAACTGTTTTGTTCCAACAGATCCCACTCCCACTATTTTGATTTTATGGAAAGAAACTCTAGTACCAGAAAGCTATTTGGTATAGTTGGAATAGGCTATTTTGGTTTGCTAATTGTCATTCCATCATATTCCAAAGAAACATTCAAAACACTATCATACAGTTAACTTGCAGAGAATGAAGTGGACAGGTCTTTACATCCCAATGTTTTCACAATAAGGCATGCTCACTTGAAACAATTACAAGATGCAAGTCCACTAGTCAAGAGTGTAAACTTTGATCAAATAAAGAAGAGCAAAAAGAGAAAGATAAAATATTATTAATACTTCTTGACCTAGAATACATAATGTAGGCCCTTATATAGTAGGGCAACAAAACAATGTAAAATGCCTAAACTAGTCATAATAGGCCCTTATATAGTAGGGCAACAAAACAATGTAAAATGCCTAAACTAGTCATAATATAAATACTCTAACAAGAGAACCAACATACTAGAATAACAATCCAAATCCACTTTCTTGCTCATTTTTTTTTTCTAGCTTCAACACCTGACTGTTTTCCACAGATCAAAAGAAAACAAGAAACACCACATTTCAATGTAAAAGATGAAATCCGTTTGTTTATTCACTACAACGAAAAAAAGCATCTTTAAGTAGACTTATGACGAATGCAGTTGTTTCTTAAGCATGAAAAGAAGGGTGAGGGGAGGGAGGTTTGCGTCCAACTTTGGGTTGGTTGAAATACTTTCGAGGAACTCCAGGAGTGGGAGGAAGTTTAGGAATAGGAGGAGCTCTAGGAATGGGAGGATATGTTTTTCTATAAATGGGAGGAGCATTTGGGGCTAGAGGCAGAGGCGGTGATAACTTTTTGACTGGCGGACTTGGTCCATAAGTTGGTGTTCCAGGTGAAAATGGCTTCTTGTGTACTGGAACATGTGGTGAAAGGGGGCTGTTATATATTGGTGTTGGTGAAGGAGGTTTCTGATTAGTAATTGGTGGTGATGGAACTGTCTTTTTATGTTGTGGTGCCAGTGGAGGTGGTGGCAGCTTATTAGTACGAGGTGGTGTTAAGTTCTTATATGTTGGGGTTGGTGGTGGAAGTGGCTCCTTGTATACTGGTGCTGGTTGTGGAGGTGATATCGCATAAACTGGGGCGGGTGGAGGAACCTCTGGTGGTGGTCGCGGATACTTAGGATATTCAATTGGTATTCCTGGTAAAGGTGGCAGCTTAGGCAATGGCGGGTACTTGAAAAAAGGCCACAAGAACAATGAAGTGCATGTGGCTGGAGAGAATTTCAGTTTTCCATCTAGGCCTAGTGTTAATTTTCCTTTGTCTATAGACTTGATGATTAACTTTGAGGCCCTTTGGTAATTGAGGACAGGACATGGTGCACCCGAGGCACTGTGAAGCTGTGCAAAGCATTCCTCTTTCAATTCTCCAGCTTGTATGATCGCTCCAGGAAGAGATACTTTGTACTTCCCATTCTTATCGACATCACCAGCCCCCCGTTTCTTGAGTCCTCCATTTGTAGACTTGCAACCAATGGTGACATGAAGCCCTACACAAAGTAATGTACAAGATCATAGTCAATTGCATAAATTGTTTGGTGTGACAATAAAAACTCGGCTTGGTTTGGATCTGATAAAATAATGTAGCCTTGCTTCCTAGCAGAATAAGCTGCAATAGTCCATTGTTGTCACTGAGTTGTTGTTCAATAACAAGAAGCAGAGCAATTCTAATGGGTCTCATACTCTCATTGAAAAGTTTGTTTCAATGGTGGAATTGAACCAAAGGGATATAAAATAGGGGACATAATTTTTAGCCTACTACTAATTACCATGTCAAAAGATCAGTTATTCACCTCTGTTAATAAGATAAAGAGCACCATGACCCTTACTGCCTAATTCAGCCTTCATGATTAACAGTAGCCTCTCTCTCTCACACACACACACAATCAAGCCTACAACTCTAATTTCCCATATTTAATGCGCTGCAGTTTTCTTATCACAAATCAAAATGCTGAGCGTGCAGTTTTCTTATCACAAATCATCAACAACAACAATTAAATTGTATCTAGCTCGATATTACCTGAAGAAGCTTGGCTAGTCTTAATGTTCTTTTGATCACAGTCACTACATTCTACAAATCCCATAACCTCAACTGTCTCATGGTCACCATAACAGAAACTTAAAGCAAATAGTAAGGACACCCACAAGGCCAAATGTACCCCTCGACGAATCAGAAGAACCAACATTACGTTGGCTTAGTAGTATTGAAGGAACGATCGAAAATTGGGTTCAAGTTCAGAATCTATGAGTATTTGATGCAAGGGATGAGTGATAGCTTGAGTCTGATAGACCATTTATAATGCCAGGAAGTTATTCAAAAGGATTGCCTAATGGTTGCAGATGAAGGTTCGGACCCCACGAGAGTTCATCTTTTGCAGGGAATTGAAATAGTAATAATGCTCACCGGCTTTGCTGATGGAGGGAAATTTCAACCAATTGAATGAGCATTGAACTAAGAGAGACAATTCTTGGTACTCTTACCTAACTCTCAGCAAATTTTCTTTGCACAAGAAACATAATGCACATCCTTTTAACTGAGTCATCTACACTACAATCCAGCAACCTATAGTAGTCCTGGAGACACCCAAGTGGCTCGGAGTTTTCCCCAATGGTGGAGTCAACATTTGAGCCACCAACCATGACCACCAGGTGGTGTGTCCACCTCCTATTGCAATGCAATGATGTTCCGATATTTGTCGCCGACAAAATAAAGATAGTTCATAATCATGGTGACTTTATTCATTATTTACTTGATTAATTACCTTATTTGGTGTTTCTATGCTGAATATTCTCGAGTTATTGTGCCAATAAGGCTAATTAATGGCTAGAGCTAGGTCTTACGAATGGATGAAAAAGGAGCAACTGAAAGACAGACTGAATTTATGGGATTCTCAAAATACAGAAACCTAATATGATACATTATGGTTGCTAACTATGCAAATTTAAATTTTCAAAATTAAGAAAAAAACAATGTATAGGGTATGAACCAGTGCACAAAGGCGAGGACTATGCAGGGTATACTATGGCATACTGGTACATCGTAGGGGGTTCAGAATTTAGTTCAATAATGGAAAATGAGTTGCAGTTCTACCTGTTTCACTCTCAGAAGAGTTACAGCTAAGCTACTTGAAGAATATTAATTTCTTAGAAGCAACCATTCATGTAGAATATTATTAGCTATTAAGGATTATATCAACATAATATACACACCTTGCAAAGATCTTGTACTCTCTCATAGGATGACAAAAGACTGTTCAGACTTGATGAAGCCCAGCTTTCAGGGTTTGAATTTTGTGGAGTAGGAGAGCATTCTGTCTCCAGCCCAACTCCACATTTAGGTGACAAATCTGCTGTAAGTATGCATTAAGCCGCCTCTCTTCTTTGGCTCAGATGGAACAGAATAAAGGTAGATGGAAAGCCAGACAAATTTCTAGGATGTCGTTCATAACATGATATTTTTGGGCTACTTGGTGTGGGAGGCTCACTCTATTTTATGGCTTTCTCAATGGACTTTAATTGTTTTTTCATCGTTCGGACTGGTAAATAATCAGAACAATTCCATGGTATGATTTAACTCTGAATAAACTATGTTGGATTTTATTTTAGGAAGCTTTCTCACATAATCCCACCAGTTGTATCGTTCAGGTGTGAGATGAAGGATTGACAAACTAGTTATAACCCTATTACAGATGCCTTCCCCATGTCTGCTGAATCCATATTGAATTTATATAACAGTTTTGCCAACACCAAAGCTTCATTATCATGAATTTTTCTATCGATGTTAGAGAGTATCAACCAGTTTACCACTGTAAGTACAACAACATTAATGCTGTCTGCTGTAAATTTATGTGAGTATCCTGCAAGGAACACCCTGATAAAAATAAAAATAAAAACCATAAAAGTCATATAAAATTGACCTTGTTGGGCTGGGAACAAGTTCTTTTTGTACTGTCTGTTGATATGTAGTATGAAGTTATGCCCCCATGTGCTTCATGGTGAAACTTTTGGTCTTTGGTTATAAAATCATCTCTTAACTGGAAAGAAAAAGAGAAAAAAAAAAACAAGATAAATATGCTGATTGAATTCCAGTCTTCTACTTTAGTACAAATTTGGTTTAGTTCCCTTATCCACCAATCACAGTCTTTGCTTTGATCAAAACCAGCATTTGGTTTTCAGAGATAACATGACAGTAACAGTACTTTGTTTTGTAATGACAGCAGATTAATAGTCACATCATTCTATTTAGGTATTCCATATGCAATTTCTTTTTGTTTAGTATTATGACCATGTTGACTACAATGGCATTGGCTATGAGTCATATTTAACAATTTTCTGAACATCACCTTCCATAGTTACTCCCTTTCTGGTTGCTCAATTCTCTGTACTGGGATTCTGAGAAGTTCATAGTTTTCCCATTTGGGTTTTGGTTAGTCACAACCACATGCTCTTTGATTGTATGAAAATAAATACACCATTATTCTGGTATGTACATCCACTTGAACATTTACAAGCTTTCAATTATGAGGAAATTGGAAGGGGTATACCAAATTGGAGTTAATTATAAAAAAATACACATAAAAAAATGTAAAGTAAAAAAATCCTTAATTTTGATACTTATTTGTATTCAAGTACATTAATTGAAATTTCCAAATTTTATTGTGACCTTTATGTCCTCCTTTGATCCATGCGTATTTTTTTTGAAAAATAGTTCTTTTTAAAAATTACATTTATGCATTAAACATCTCCTAGTTTTATGGGATTACTGTAATATTCCGTTTATTTATGCATTAAACATCTTCTAATTTTAGGATATATCATTTTATTGATTTTCAAATTTGAAACCTGGTACATAATTTGAATTTTTTAAATTTTTCTTTGACATTTGTGCTCCGTTAATTCATGCGATTTATTTTTGGAAATTGATTTTTTGTTTCAGATTATATGTATGCCTTAAAAATCTCATAATTTAATGGAAGATTTGATCCTTCCGTTTTTTTAGAATAAATTTATGCATTAAAAATCTTCTAATTTAATGAAAGATTTGATTCTTTAATTCTTCCTAATTTAATGGAAGATTTGATCCTTCCATTTTTTTTAGGATAAATGTATGCATTAAAAAATATTATAATTTAATGAAAGATTTGATTCTTTGATTCTTCCATTTATTGTGAGGATAAATCAATTTATTTGAATTTTAAATTTTTTCAACAATATCTTTTGTTATTTTAAAAGTGTTTAATCTGTTTTTTAATATGCGAACATCATATTAGTATAACAATAATAGTGTAATAAAACACTTATACAAAAATATTGTACTATTACATTTTATCAAACATATATTTACATATAATTTCATTCAAACAGTTCATCTCTGTTTTGAATTTGTTACCACATTCACAAAACCATCAAGCATTGTCTTTGTTACAGTGTATTGTTACACAATCTTTGTTATGCTATGAGAGAAACACAGTCAATAGTTAAGAGATACACACAGTTTATTCACACACAATGAATTGATATGGCAGAAACATCGTATTTCACACGAGCCAACGATTAACTTTCAACAACTGGTTTTAGTCTTCAAATGCCGAAGTCCGTACGTATCTTTAAATGGTGACCAAATCTTCAAAAAATAGATGTTTTTGCCGATCTTACATCAAATGGGCTAAACAGTATAATTTTTCTTTCAAAAACAAAACCTTATAAATGTTCAGGAAATAAGAAATTTCTGCCAAAAAAACTCCAAAATCAAAATAGATGAAATAATATTTTAATTTTGGATAACTCATGATGTCAATACAAAAAATACATAAAATGGTGAAGTTCAACAATTACTTTATTAAATGCATGCCAACGAGCAACAATCAACGCCTGTTCAGGTTTACAAATGCTGAACTTCGAAAGTTTCTTCAAATCGCGAACAAAACTTTCATCATTCTTAAGTTTGTGTCAACCAAACCCCAAATCATTTGTCAATCGATGTACATTTCACAGTCAAAACCCTCTCATTGTTTATGCAAGATAGAGAATTAGGAAATTTCTCCAAAGAAGATGAACTAGTTTTTTGTGAGGAAGAAGGAATACACATAACGATTACCGAAGACGAAGAGATTTTGAAATAAATGTATCTAAATTTCAGCGGTTAAGATAAATGCATTGTTACAGTTTTTAGGAAAGAAAATTTTACAAAATTGGTATTTACGTCTTTGTATCTCAGTAGTGTATTTTTTTTCAAAATATTTTATATATATATATATTTTTTTACAATTATGTCTAATTTGGTATATCAATTTTCAAAGGACTCTTCAATTATCATGCAATAAGACGGGGAACTCTATCACAAGCCTAACAAAGTCTGAGCTTTAGGCCCCATATTTTAAGAAAGCCCTAAATTTTTTAGATGCATAGTTAGTCCAAATCAAAAAATTCATAAGATTTTAGGCCTTAAAAAAAGTCTTATGAAAATTTAAATTTAATCAAAAATAAATTTAAGTAATTTGGGCTCATGAACCCAACTCATATTATTAAAAATATACTAAAATAATTTTTTTAGAAAAAGCTAAAGGTTAAAAAAATAATTTTAACTATTCAACCAAAACACACCATTCATTTATAATCATTCTCTCTCTCTCTAATAAACTAAGTCCTAGTAAATACAAATTCTCTTCTTCTTTTTTTGTGTTAGGAATTTTATTTTATTTGTATTACGAAAAATAAACCATAATATTTTTTTATTAAACTAAAAAAATTAAAATCAATAGATTATGATTGTTTAAAATTAAAATTAATAAAATCTTTCCTATGATCGATTATCACAATAAAAATTAGACTACTTTTAGTCTTAAAAAAAATTAAAATAAAAATTTATTAATATTAAAAAAAAAAATCTCATTTATAATAATCGTTTTAGGTCTCAAATTGTTCTGAGTCGCCGTTGATGATCAGCTAAATGCAGATGCCCATGCATAAAATCTCTCTCTCAATCGATCGATCGAACTTTTAAAGTCCCAATCAAGCAAATAATGTTTCAACCCTCCCCAGCTCAAAATTGGGATGGGGGACATTCTCATATCATTATATCGTGTGGTAACCTAATTTTATTGGATTGCAATATTCAAAAGAATGTACCTGAAAAGGAGTGACTAGTCTTAATATTGCTGTCCGTGCAATCTGCACATTCTCTTATCCCAACTACCTCTACGGTCTTGTCATCAACATGGCAGAAGAAGCTCACAGTAAAAAAAACAAGTACATCCA